TAACAGTAACACTAATGAAAGAAAGTATTTTTGGTGTTTTCTAAAACACTGTCTCATAGCTAGAGCTGGGTAATTAGTGTAGTTTACTAATTGATTACAACATTCAACTGATTGATTATTCTTATGAGATGGCTTAAACAAATGTATAATTCTAAAATTCAGGTTTAATACCCATGGTGAGTAGGGCACAGATAGCTTATTGTGCAGCTTTGAACTTGATAGCAAACAAATATAATTGCAATATTTCAATTACTTGAATAGTTGGAATGATTGAAAATAGTAATAATTCGAAATCCTAATTTCAAATATTTGAATATTTTCATGAAACGTGATACTAATAAATTAACCCTCTCTCTATGATTTGTTCAAAGTGCATATTTTAAAATTACATTCAAAATTTCATCAAACTACTACTATTATTATTATTGTATATGAATAAACTTGGCACCATAACATAGTTAATACATCAAATTTTAATACAAGTTTTAAGTTCTAAATTTCATAAGAAAATGTTTTAAAAATTCCTCAATTTCCCCTAGTATAAGAATTGTGAAATTTATTCTCTACATCTTCCCTCTTCTCTAATTTATTTTCCACCCTTCTAAGAAGTACAAAATTCAAAGTAAATTACTCATTATAATATAGATATTACTAAGGCAAACCACAGTTGCTATTGCCTTCATTATTATGGAGTCATAAATTAGAAAATCAGACCCACTTGCCACTCCACCAGTCACAAATTGCCAATAGTTCTCTGATATTTTACACTATGTTATTATAACCAATAGAAAGCCAAAGTTTTTTAATCTATAAAATGATGTATTATATTACATAACTTTCAATACAGAATATTGTCTATTTCATTTTCAGTTTGAAAATTTCTCTTACAGTGGTCATGCTCACAAGATTAAATTATAATAATTGTTATAGGACATTGTTTGCTTTCTGCATGTTATTATTCTGTATTCTTAGGTGCATTATTTAAGTAAATAAAAATTTAGTGTATTTATATCATTAGTATAAAAAGTAGGCTTCCATTACACCAGCAACCGAGAGCAAATAAAAGAAAATGAGGTCACAAGCAAGTGATATATTTCTTGTTTTTTTGTGTATATTCTTTATGAATTCTTATAAAAGTAACCAAGATTTAAAAATTAGAAACTTATTAGGTTAGATTAAGTAAGATCATGAAAAGAGTAAATGAATAAAAATTCTTCAGGAAGTATGTTCACAAGCAGGTCATGCATTACATCATTCAATGCAGTAACATGGGCTACATGTTTGCTGGGCGATTTACAGCTCCTGTGGTGGGATTGTTAGTTAATCATGGGCAAATTGGCAATAAAACAATAAAATTAAGTATAAACAGAGGTATACTGTTATGAGCTTTAAGCTGTTTAGGATAAAGATTGTAGTATCCTGTTATAATATGCTCTCATCCTAGAAAGAAAAAAGGGTAATTTAGATTTATTTAATTTTTTTATAGTGGTTACAAGATTGTCGAAATCACCCAAATGCATATAGTTAGGGTAAAGAAAATAACAGACAAAATATAAAGTTTTATTGACCAAAAAAATTGGATTTTTATTTAGGAGGTTTTATAGATTTAAGCAAATTAAATTTGACAATTTTGACATGAAGAAAATTATTTTTAATCTTAACATGAAAATCACTTTGTATTCAGAGCAGTCAACACCCTGACTCAGTATATTCACAGGCAACTTTTTAGAAAATTAAAAAATCCAATTTTTTGTGCACAAAAGACAAATATTTACTGAAAGCTTGCCAAAAATCATGAAGATATACAAAACATATTAGAAGTTAGAGTATAGAAACTCTGATGGTCACTGATGTTAAAAGGTTGGTCACATTGACTGAGCCTGTAATGATAGGATTAAGTTGGCCACAACTGAACTAATTGAGAATAGTAATGAAAAATCATAATGGTGATATTTCAATTACTGGATAATTGGAATAGTTTTAAATTTACCTGATAATCAGCACATGAAATAGAAGCGTTCTGCAGAGAGCTTCGTGGAACAAATTCTCTTGCAAATGGTGAAAGACTTGAATTTTTTGGTTGTAGAACAGACATTGAGGATGCTGTAAACACTGAAAATAAAAAATAAGCTTCAAATATCAAACTTATGAAAAATGCTTATCTTATTTAAGCCAGTAACATTTCACATAAAGAAAAAAAAATTTGCAAATTGCAGCATTTCTTAAATTTTTGCATAATTTTCTTATAAATTAGAAATAAATTTTCTTATCACAAATTTCTTAAATCAAGAAATATAAATTTACATTTTTAAAACCATCTAAAATCACAGTAAAACTAAAGCCAATATATATAGTTTACTGATATAATGAAAAAAGGGACTTGGTATTTTTGTTTACAGAGTAAAACTACTTCTAAAGGATTATTTTTATAATATTAGAAGTCTATGTTTAACTTTCATGCATACTTTTTTGTTCTTTATTGAACACAAATAAATGTTTTATCTCCAATAAAAACTGTAGTGATTGCGACTTCCTCATGTATAAATAACAGTAAGCCAAAACTGCATAAGCAAGCTCAAATTTTTACTTTCACTAACTACCTTGATGTAAATTCTAATTAGCATATGAACATAAGACCCAAGTGTCTTACATTTCAGATTCAAAGATTTCTAAGGGATATAGTCAAATCAAGTGTGAGATGTCTTAATCATCATCATATACAATATAGATTGATATCTAAAATTCAAGTATCAAATTTAACAGCCACAATTATAAACTTTGGGAAAATAGTATTTTTTAACCTGATCTGAGTGTAAGTCACTTTTTTCTTGAAGGATAAAATTGTTTTAGTTTTTGGAAGTAAGGAAGTAATTCCTATGGTACTTTGAAACTTTATACAACTTTATGATGAAGAACATTTTTTACATTTCAAAAAAAGTGGTAGAGATAATTCAGACAACCAGTTTAAATGTTAAAAAACTAAATACCCACATAAGCCTAACAAAAATTATCTACAAACATTTTAATTTACATTGCAACTCACCAAATTGAAACCTTTCTTGATAAAAATCTACAATGCCTTGCAAAATTACTCACCCCTCTGCAAAGTTTCCACATTTTGTTGCCATCTGAGCTTGCAATCATGAAACTTTCAAATGGGACTTTATATCTAGAACCTACACAATCTACTCTAAACTGAGAAAGCTAAAAAATGCTCATATTATGTACGTAAATTAGACTTTCAAAGAAAATTAGAATATTTTCTATTACATAACTATTCAACCCTTTTGTTACAGTAACCCTAAATCAGTTCAGGAGCAAAAGATTAGTTTGAAAGGTCACAAAATTAGTGTAATAGTTTCTGTGTTTAACTTGACTTCAGGTAAATGCATCTATTCAAGCCACAGCTCACATAGTAATACAACAAACCAATCATGAAAAACAAAGGAGCTTTCCAAACAAGTTCAAAGTCACTGATTATCCCTTTGAGTATGGTGAAGTCTATCATTAAGAAGTGAAATTGTGCTTCATACCACCTAGATCAGGCTGCCCTTCCAAACTAAGCAGCCAGACATGCAGGACACTGGTTAGGGATGCCACTATGAAGCCAATTGTGACTGTGAAAGATTTGCAAAGTTCCATATCTGAGATGGGAGTCAGTGTTCGTACGTCGACAATATCCCGGTTCCTAAATAAAGCTGGCCTATATGGGCCAGTGGCAAGAAAGAGGCCATTACTGGAAAAGAATCATCTTAAATCTCGTATACAGTTTGCAAAAAACCAGACATGTGTCAGAAGGTTTTGTGGTCAGATGAGACAAAAATTGAGCTTTTTTGGTCTAATTTCAAGTGTTAAGTCTGGTGCAAGCCCAACACAGAACATCCCCCAGTCAACACCATCCCAACTGTCAGGCATGGTGGTAGCAGCATCATGTCATTGGGTTGCTTCTCATAGGCAGGGACTGGGAAGTTTGTCACAATTGAGGAGAAGATGGATGGATGGTGCAAAGTACAGGTAAATCCCAGAGGAAAACTTGCTTGAGTCAGTCAAGAATCTAAAACTGGGTCGAAAATTCACATTTCAGCCAGAAAATGACCCAAAGCACAAGGCCAAAGCGACATTGGAGTGGTTTTAAAAGAAGAAATGAATGTCCTGGAGTAGCCCAGTCAAAGTTCTGATTTGAATCCAATAGAAAATTTTTGGAGAGCCTTGAAGATTGCAGTCCATCAATGATCCACAATGAACATGACAAAATTGGAGCAATTTGCCAAGAAGAATGGGCAAAAATT